GAATAGATATCAATTGCTGCCTGCCTGATGGTTGAAAACATGCATTCAACTTTCTAAAACACAGTAACAGGATTTGCTAAATGGTGAGCTGTGATGTGCGGTATGTGTATTAGAAGAAAATAGCCTAAAACATTCAAGTGTAGGAATTTCAATTTGCACTAATCAACATTTTTACAACAACAATTGATCAAATGTGTAATGTGAAAGGGGTTGCTCATATAACTCCATCATATGGATGACAATGACTGATTGTAATGAAAACAGTATCAACCATCCCATCATTAAACCGATGCATCATTCTAACCATAGCTAAGACAGTGGAGGTGAAAGAGGCAATACATTTGTTGACTTTGTCACATGTATCTGTCTCAGTGTGTGTCTCTATCTCTGAACACACCATTCCTCAACCGTGTCCAACGGTGACAGCCGTGGGTAATGACAGTCGAACGCTCACTCGCTCCTCATTTATTTGGAGCTGGCAGTGTAACAGTTCGCTCAGAACTCTTAAGTGCTTGTTAATTTAATATGCAAATAAGTCTCTTGTCAATCTGAATGAATTTTAATGAAAAGGCTTCTGCTTCCACGGGGCGGGGGCTTCTGCTAGTTGACTGTGGCTGTTTGTGCAGGGGAGAAAAAGGCCAGGGGCAGGTTGAACAGGGAGCACAGACGAGGTGTGACTGAAGGATAGCAGTAAGACACTGAGGTACAATGTATTAGGGACAGAGAATGGAAGCCTGAACATGTGTAACATATGGAGGTGATGCAGCTGTCACCTCTGCTTTGGTGTCCTGTGATCTGTGTCAGCCAGTGTTCCCAGCAGATAGAGCTTTAAAACTGAATCTGGGGTTATGAAAGGGAGCAAGCACAAGCATCAGCCTGCACAAACACGATAGAGTGAAACACACACACACACACACGCACAATCCTCTACCCACATCCCTCTGTTAATGACAGACCTTAGCTCAACCTTTGACTACATATGGGTGGCGCAGTGTGCTGAAAGTAAGGTGAGCGTGTTATTGGGAAGGTGGGGGGTGGATTGCTGGTGGTGTTAAGTCAAGCAGGAACCCTCAATGTTGCTAATTTATTTACAGATTTAATTAGATGGATAGAGCCCTCACAGATATAAGAAAGAGAGGAGAGATGTTGCCAGCGTTACAGCACTTTAATTATGGTAGTAGGCTCCTGATCCCTGCGCTCCGCTGTCTGGGGAGCCAGTTAATTAAAATCCTCATTATTTTACTTTTAATTAGTTCCCCCCTCTTTTGTTTCCTTTCACCATATGGCCGTGTTCCGTGGTCAAATTAACGTAATTGAGCTAATTAAGCCGATCACTTTAATTATTCAAAGCGTTCCGATTGGCCAGGAGAACTTTTCTCCCTCTCCTCTCCCTGACATTCCTGTATGAGGCTTGGAGTTGTCGCTCTCTTTGTCATTATGCTCCTCTACACCCATGCAGAAGGCAGTGTGTTATGGCTGCAAAATGCCTCACATGTTCTCATGTCTCATATTTCACTCCCATACAATGCGGTAAGCAGTGCAGCACTGGAGACCCCAGCCAGTTCAGAGGATTCAGAAATCATCACAACATTTAACACACTATGGTTATGACAAATTAGGTGCGTGTTGGTAGTTATTGTAGCTACTTCTTAACAATCATCTGGTGCTCGGGGATTGGAGTTACCTCAAATAGCTTTGGCAGCCAGAGCAGCTTTCACAAGGATTGTCAGCACAGCTAAATGCAACACACTGCCATTGAATTTACATGCTTGGATTTTGAAAATGGTGACAACCAGATGGCGGTTTTACAGCAAACATACTTTGAGTTGAGCTCAATGCCTAAAGCTGGACGAGACCTGTCTATCAGCATTAATCTATAGCACAACCGCCACACACACTGTAGTTCTCTGGCATCTCTCATTCTCAGCTTTTCAGTAATGTAGAATAATTCCACAACCTACTTAAACACTAGGAACATCAAACTAAAACAATATTCATTATTTGATGATGGATGAATTAGCCTTTTCTAGAAAAAGCCTCAGAAAGGAAGCATGTACTTTACATTTCTAGTTTCTTATATATAGAGAGCATGATTAATGATGGGCATCATAGCTGAACAGACAGAAAGTCAAACTTCATCAATACAATATAGAACCTCAACAAACGTAGTATAAAGAATGAGAGAGCCCAATTGAACTGATGAGCACTGCACATATTCCACTGTAAATAAAAAGTGGAAGTGTCAAAAGTCACTTAAAGGATCAACCAAATTCCAAAGAAACATATTTTCTCACTAACCCATGGAAATGCCTAAATCTAGGCATGCAGATAATTTTGGTTTTATTTGCCTAGTTTTTGATTTATCTGTGTCTAGATAAATGCCTCCACCCGAATGCATTTTGGGTAAATGGAATTTTGATTGTGGTTCTTACAGACAACAACAAAAAAAATCTAAAGCAATAAAAACAAGAACTGGTTACTCTGGATATTTCACACACATCACTATAAACAGTTTTCACTGAAACAATTTTCTACCAAAGAAATAGTCCATTCTTTGGTAAAGTTTTGTTAATTTGTTAATGTTAAATGTTTTCCACAGAGTGTTGGATTCACTCAACAATTTTTAGCTGAATTATTTTGTTTGTTGGTTTGTTTGTTTTGAGATTTTTAAGGTTTCAACTCTCCAAATTGTACGCTGCCATCACAATCTGCCATCCACTAAGAGAATGTAGACTGTTGGCCACTTCCTTGTTGGCTCATTGCTCATCAAATGGCTGCTTTCTACCACCACACATGATGGAAAAAATGTAACCAAGTATTTGGAAGAGCTAGAAGGACTGACATTTCTCTCAACAGTGATGAGGCCAAGTGGCAGATACTTGCTAATTCTGTGGTGGTTTGTGGTGGCAGTGAATGGTTTAGGGAATTCACATATTAAATGTGAGCTATGATTGGTTTTGTGAACCTCACATTATTTAGAAAAGGAGAATAACCACTCTACTACAATTTAATATGACTGATGTCATATTATTGTAGTGCCTGTACAAGTTAAGATGTAGCATCACTAACAGCAGTTAATCTTATGGAAATGCAGCTCAAATGCAGCTCAAATACAGCTCAGGGGGCAGCAGTAGCTCAGTCTGGCTGGGAACTAGAAGGTCACCGGTTTGAGTCAAGCTCGGACTACAGATGGAGTGTGGACTAGTAGCTGGAGAGGTCCACCTCCTGGGCACTGCTGAAGGTGGCCTCAAGCAAGCCCCTGAACTCCCATCCGCTCGGGGCGCCACACTGAGTGGCAGCCCCCTCTGACATCCCTGTGTATTTCAGACCTGTGTGTGTATAATATACAAACATTAACAAGAGAGCAAAACAATCAGCAAAAATTTCCCCTTGAGGGATTAATAAAGTATCTCTTCTTCTTCAAAAACACAAGTGCAACATAATGAGCATTTAGCATTCAAGACAAACTTAAAGACAGAATTTAAGTGAAAATGAAATTGATGAAGAGTTTAATAATTACATTTGGAAAATATTCCTAAAAACAGTTGTTAACAAAAGTGGGAACTGAGCCCCCCTGTTCTCCTGCTGTTTAGACTTAAGTTCACATCTGGTGACACAAAGCAGCCTGGACCGTCACAGAGATGTGTAAACCAACACCAGCACATTATCCACACTCAAAAACTTGGTCTGACCTCTCCACACACAGAGAGGTATAGTCATTCGAAAGACCTCCTTGCTGGCAGATCAGCATCAGAACGGAACTGTGCTGAAGGAAGGCAACCATATTGGATCTGCATCACACGAGTGTCTGTGCAAGAAGGAGGCTTCACTGGTCCTCTTCATCATAAGCATGTAAAAATATCCTGGCATCATCATGTGTCTTCACACAGTGTGAGGTTGAGGAGCTCAGGCAATTACACTCATCTGCATGTGTTAATATGATTAATTAGGAGGAATAAACACTTTCCTATGACACAGGCTACATGGTGAGCCATACACCTGCAGAAGCTCTGATAAAAGACAACACCTCATGGCAAAGAGCCTTTTCATGAGCTCTGCTAATTGGCATCTGAAAACGTTCTGGCTAATTAGGAAAAGGCAGATGAGGCTTGATTAGTTTGAATGCAAAGTGTAACTTGTGGTGCGGTGGGACTCGGGAATGTGCCGAGGTTTTATTTCTTCACCATCATGATACAAAGATAATTGTAATTGTGATCATTTGCATACGTTAATGAATTTGCGTGACGCTTCTTGATCAGACGTGGAATAAATAATTGATGCAGTATCAGCACCTACCATGACAAGTGGGACATTTTGAAATAGCTAAGCGCATTAAGGTGCAAGTTTGATGGCTGCCATGCTCCCAGGCAAGGTGTAAAAGTACAGCAGATCCTATCTTCTGCTTTCTGCCTGCTGCGTACTCCACCGCTATCACACAAGATTAACTCCCAACCTCTAATGGTATGCTGAGACTTTAAATTTTTACATAGCTTTAAAAAGGCACACCGAGTTAAGAGCGAATTAGCTCAGGAAAATAATTTTCAGAAGCCATGCAGAGTGGCAGAGAACAAAGAGCTGTGGTGGGAAACAACCCAGGCTGTGTGGGAGCTTTAATTGGAACATGGTAAACAGTAAATACATCAGATTGTTTCAAATGCCCTGGATGTAGAGGGGGGCACTCCCCTTTAATTAGCCTGCTTTCAGATTAGGCTTTATTAGAGGCAGGCAGGCAGCCACCGATCCAGTCAGCCACGGGATATGCCCCGAGTTCGGCCTCCCAGGAGCTCCAGCAGCACAGATACAGGGCTCATGTTTAATTGCTTCTGTAAATGGTCAGAACTCAAGCCCCCTAATTCCATTCCTCTGGGTAATCAGGCGTGTTTTCACCATACACGGCTAAAGATAGTGAGAGACAGTCACATCCACCAAGCTAGGTACCATGCAATACAATGCCACTCTAATGCCGGTAAGGGGCTTCAAAATGACCTCAGCTCACTTCGTGACATGTTACAGGAAAATCTTTTTAATAGGATTTTTGTTTTCAACTTCAACAACTTTCACCCCCCCACACACACTGAAGAGGCGTCTGGTAATGAAATACAACTCTACAGAAGAAACCTTCACTGGATCATTTCAGATCCTTGTGCAGGGCATCGGAAAAATTAGTAATCGTAGGTAAAAGCAACGTCAGATTTGATTTCCGTAAGTGTTGCCTGACATCAATTTTATATTCAACCCTCAGTGTGTAAGATCCCAGATTAACATATACAAGACAGAGATCAAGAGTTCATTAAAACACTGACGCTCAGGGGAAACAATGCCACATGGCATAAGCAAAGCTTTGACAGTCATTTTACAGCTGTCCATCAAACGTTCCTTCAAGCGTCTTTTGTTCCCTCTTCCAGTTGGTGCAGGCTTTCATCGTCATTGTTTCCTCCAGTCAACATACACTGTAAGTCTTTGCATGATGCACAGACCACTTTAACATCGAACACAACATAAATGTGACCTTGTTTACAATATATTGAGACTCTGATATGGGGACGGACGGATATGTTGGTGAGAAACTGCGTCCTCTCCAGGGAAGAGAGTTGGGGCGGTGATGAGAATCCACAACAGCAGCGACAGTAGCAGAAGAGTGCACCGAAGAGAAGTGAAGCTTGGGAGGAAAGGCAAGGCAACACGCAGCACTCAGCAAACCTGCAGACAAAAAGAGAGGGAAAATGGTTAGGGTCACTGCCGCAACAGACATTTCAGGTTCATTTTTATGGCCTTATATGTCTGTTTCCTTCTATTTAAGAGTTCTCCTCATTTTAAATTCAAGTTTATTTTAACTTATAGATGCAAACACATTGTATAATATTTGAGGATGAATAAATCTAAAAACAAAATACAATACGACATAAAATCATTTGTTAGATTATAACAATGCACCAAATGTAAAGTGTAAAGTAGCATTGTAATAGCACCAGCTTATGAAGGTACATTTTAAAGACTTTTCCAGTTCAGTTACCAACTAGCATTTCAGTTCTTCTGAAATCCTGGTTCCATTTTTTCAGTGGCGGAAGAAGTATTCAGATTTTTCTTAGGTAAAAAGCAATTCAACAATATATAACAAAAACTCCATTATAAGTAAACGTGTTCAAAGTGACACCTAAGTAAAAATAAACAAGTATTAACAGCAACATGTACTTTAAGCATCTAAAAAGGTGCAAATAGTGCACGTCAGTAATGTTATTATATATAATAATGTTGGATTATTATTACCGATGAATTTTACACCACATACAGTGGAATAGTTTCATCTGAAAGAATTTATTTTTAAGCTGATGATATGGTTTGTATATACACACACAATATCCATTTATAAAAGTAACTAGTGACTTGTGAGCTTTCATATAAATGTAGTGAAGTAAAAAGTACAATATATTCCTGAGAGGTAGTGGAGTAGAAGTATAAAGTAGTATATGAATGAAAAAGTATTCCACAACTGCCATTTTTATTAACGTTATTCTGTCTTCACCTCTTCAATCCAATGTTATTTTTCATTCCCTGTAGTGTAAACACTGATGGTTGCATTATGAAGACAGCACCTTTGATCTTTCGTTATTCACATTTTTGCCCACATGGCTGTTTCAATTTTTTCATATAAATTACATGTCCTCCTGTGGCAGCCATTTTCACCACAGGGAGCCAACATATTCTATTAGTCACATTACAAGCCCTTTATTCACCTTCTGGTCTGTCAGCACAGAGTTGCTCTGAAGTGGAGGCAGGTGGCTGGTGAGCAAGGCAGCGCCGGGTCTGTCATGCTCACAGAAGATTGTACCGTTGATGTAATGGAAGCGATCACCAGGCATCAGTCTGTTTCTACAGGTGGCACAGCTGAAACACTGCAGAGGAGCAACACAAAGGGTCAGAAATTTAATGGAAGAAATTCATCTAACACATTCATCTACTGTTGGCATGATATCAAATATTTTAGTGAGAAGAGTCTCCTGATGTGAGAAAATAAAATGGATGGATAAATATTAATTAAAATATGAAACATTGCAGTCTAATCTGTTGATAAAACACGTTGAAAGCTGTTGCCTCAAACTAATTTTAAAAGTGAGTAGATGAGGCAAAAAAAAAAAAATGAAGGGCTAAATTCCTTTCTCTCCTGATACCTAGGAGACATATCTTCCTGTCTCACGGTCTCTCCTGACCAAATCCCAGATGTTTCTGTCAAACAAGCAGCGGGAAACAAAGCATGCTGATGTGAGAGCTGGGGATTCACCTTGAGGTGGTAAACATTTCCCTGTGCCCTCATCACCATTTCGTTGGCTGGGATCGACTGGCTGCAGGCGCTGCACGCCCCGCTGTGCCCGAACAGTCTGCAAACACAAAAACACAGATTGCTCAGTCTCTGCGGCTTCCAAAATCGAAAACCAGCAACTTCCTCTCTCCCCCGCCATCCTCCTCTGCCACCCCTTCCTTCCTCTCACCTGATGTAGTCACTCCGACACAGAATCATGCCCCCTTTGCTGTAGCAGGTGGTGCCAATGTCCCCCAGCTGGGCTTGGCAGCAAGAGCACTTGAGGCAGCGAGTGTGCCAGTAGCGCTCCATGGAGAAGAGCAGGAAGCGGTCGGAGATCTTCCCCCCGCATCCTGCACATGACCTGGAGGCCGGTGGTACACCTGACGCTTGGCTGTTCACCATGCTGATGTGGGCCCTCAGAGGCTCCTGGGCACAGAGAATAGAGGTTTGACAAGTGAAACAGGTCTAACAGCTATGTTCACTTTACCAAATTTTCAAGAAAAATATCTGATTCTAATTCTCTTATTTTTAGTAAGAGTTCATAGTAAACCCCTTTTTGTATTTACTACACACATGAGCCATTTCCACTTGCCCTGACAAACCCACTCAGGGCTTCTGCTTCAGCATGACTGCAAGTGCTTGATAACTTGGTAACTTTAAAAGCTGTAACAGGTTGACCTAAACACTTACACACTAAGCATTACTAGAGAGAATAACTGGAATACTTCCACGGACAAATGACATGTAAAATATATTAGAAATATGTTCTCTATTGCTCTATAACGTCCATATATCAAAAGTAATCTTCTTACTGATTTGACAAGTAGACTGTGGGGAATGGATTTACAGGCATTAACATTATGTCAGCGGTGGACGTGAGGGGGGAAAAGGGGGGAAAGTCACCAAATGGGACTTTTGGAAGAGAGCCAGTAATGGGACTAAATGTAATGCTAGGAGCATTAGAAAACCATTGTTTTAGTCTGCATTTACTGTTTTCTACTTTACATTATATATAAAGTATGTTAGCTTAACTGACGTGATGTTTACAACCAGGAGATAATAGCTAAAGGAAAGCTTTATTCAGAAATAACCTTACAGGAAAAAGAAGAGACATGTTACCTTATCGTGCCGAAGGTTTCCCTCCTGCGTTCAAGTTTGAGAAGGTGGAAAATATTCACAAGAACCTCGACACGCTTAGAGTTGTAAAACCGCACTTAGATTTGGCATGTTCTGGTCTCCATGGCTTTCCAGAAAAAGGCAAAGCAACACAACATAAAGCCCGGGACGGCGCGGTGACGCTGATAGTTGAGCAAAGTCTCCCCGACATCCAGCTCCGAAGACAAATGACTACACGTAACCCCGAGCAGCAGACATGACGCAGCTTCTCTTCCTCTCCGGTCTCTTACAGCTGTTGGTCTATCAACATGCCTTCATCTGTTTCTAACGCTTTTGACAGCGACACTATTAATCAAATTGCGCAAGGGGCTATTTAAATTACCAAGAGGGGACGCAGCCGAGATGAAACGCGCAGCAGCCAATGGGAAAGCAGGGGGCGTGTCCGCAGTCAAAATGATTTATGAGTTTGTAGTGGCTTATTAATATGCACATTCACATCCCTTAAGCTCCCCATAGGGTGATACTGAGTGTGTGTGCAGTATTCACATTGGAAACAGCTATAAAAACAAGTTATGGTATGTTGTTTTTATAGTTTACCTATGTATGTAGATCACACCGGCTCTTGTACTGTATAAGGAGGAAATGTGTCGAAAAACCATTTTCATAGATGTCCAACATTGCTTCCCTTAAAACATTTCATCGACCGAGGGTTGAAGTCACAACTTCTCGAGTCAAAGTGTTAAAATGACGAGGAGGGTGTGTATGAATTCGCAGCGAACAATGTTTATTGTGTTGTAATATTTAGTGTGCAGGTCAGCCATCTTCACAACTCATTTTATGTAAGTCCAAGTCTCAATTATCTTTTTGGAAAAATAACAACATATTTATTTTCTTGCACTTTGCATGTTGATCATCTCTAATTTAGCTGTTTCAGTTTGATACTATTATTTTACTTAGGCCTATTATTATTTTTTACCTACATGAAGGTATTGATAAGAGCACTTTAAAATATCACATTTGCTTGCTGCATAGCCAACTAGTGTTGCCTGTATCTGTTGCTATCCTGATATGGACATGTAGCCAACCAAACCACTTGATTTGATAAGTGTGCTTCCTTCTCCAATAGCTCAGGCACCCAATACCGCAACTACTGAGAAAGCCAAGGTCAGTTTTACCAGCAATATTATTTAATGAATTCACTATTTAATGAAGTCACTGTCGGGCATCGCTGTAAGACAATAGCAACCAGTGTGAATTAGAGAAAAGAAACAAGCTAATTTCCATCAAATGAAAGCCATGCTCTGCACAACAAGAGAATTGTTAAAATGTTCAAATCAAATCAATCCAATGATCATCTGTCATGACAAAGGCTGCTTTACAAATGCATCAGTAAGTTGTTTATTACCACAGAACATTAGACAATTTTTTATGCGTTCATATTTCAGTGTTATAAAAAGTGGCATTTAGTTTGCCTGATGTGTTGCTATGGCTGCAAATGCAATTCTAGCTAGCTAATGTTAGGTCAGCGTGGCCAAGCTAATGCTATACACTACATGTTACACAGATTAGAAATCATAATGTATTATTTTGTATGACTCCTAAAGTAGGATTTTTCATTTCTTTTCATTTTCAGGGTGCCAACCAGAGCAACAGCAAAGGAATGCCGCAGCATTCAAAATTGAAGTATTCCAGCACACAGGAGTGCAGACTGAATGCAAATGATGAGTTTGCTCATTTATCTTACCCTAACTTTCCCTTTGTTTTAAGAATTATAAGATTTTGAGATTCAATAGATCATTTTGAGATTCAGTAGATGGATAATTTTCAAAGTACATATATCAAAAATTTAATTCCTTACCATATGTGTATACAACTTATTATTTAAATGTGTTACATCACTATTCACTATTATCACTATTACAAAAAAGAAAAAGGTCACAAAAGTCAAAATGATCATTGATCATGTTTCAGTATCTTAAAAGCTTTGGGATTTTACTAATTCAAAGGTTCGATACATGTTGTCATGAAAGGATTTTGCAAGTGCTTGCTCATGGTGGGAATTGTTGGCTCTCTGTAAATAATATTACAAAGAGTTTGGTCTAGACCTGCTCTATATGAAAAGTTCTGGGGCCCCTGTATTCTCTTTATATCTGCTGCCCATAGACAGATTTAATATCACATATAATCTTTTTGCGAATGACATCCAACTTAATTTTTCTTTTAAACCTAGTAGGGGTCTGCTATTAGGGACTGGGCAGCAGAAACATTTTTACAGCAACACTGATAAGACAGAGGTTCTGGATGTTGCTCTGAAAAAACTTACCCCAATGATAATGCAAAATACTGGGTCTCTTTCCTCTGCTGTCCACTGAAATCTGAAAAATTTGGGGGTAGGATTTGATCAATCCACATCATTTTAAACCCATGTTAGGCACCGAATCTAGAGATTTTTATTGCAGGTATTGTATGTATTCTATATTTTTTTATGTGCTTTGTATTTAGATCACTTCTTCTCCACGACGCTTTGATGGTCATTTTATCTTCTGTGTTTTGGTTCTTGTGACTGTGAAAAGCACTGTCCAAATAAAGTTTACTTACTTTGGCAGAATATGGCCAGATCAAGCAATACAGCCAAACATTAGGCAGAGGCCACTAATTGGCGGACCGTGGTCAGGGATTCGTTGTTGCTCAAGGACCTTTCAGCAGAGCAGAATAGGCCTCAGTAGGTGTGAGGTCTTACAGTATATGAGCCTGCCACACTGCTGTACTTCCAGCAGAGATCCAGTAGAGGACAGCACCCTATAATGTTGCAAGGAGCTGTACATCCTGATATAGAGGATAAATATGATGGAATGAGTGAAAACCAACACAGAACAGGAACTGTATGCTGCATCAGAAAATTGTTTTTCTCAAAGGATCAGCAATCCTGATATTCTCTGATGATCCTGATATACATGACATACTCTGCTTCATCTTTAAAGTAATTTCTTATATTTGGTTTTACAGAAATATTTAAACATTAACAAAATGTTAATAAATAGAACATGCAGAAACATGTCGGTTTGAACACTTAGGCTCAGTGTATGAAGGTGAATGCAGATGTAGTGTAGAAGCGCTTTGAGTGGTCGAAAAGACCAGAAAGGTGCTATACAAATACAGAACATTTACATCGCTGGTGTTTTATAATTGTCCGAGGTTTCTCTCCATATTGCCTGTCTCAACCTGTATATTCTTTGTGTATGCGTTTGTGAAAAAGCCTTGATCGAGGGGTTTTAGCAAACTATATACCTATATCTAACCTTTCATTTCTCTCTAAGATCTTTGAGAAAGCAGTTGCCAAACAGCTGTGTGATTCAACTGTGAGTTAATCATGGCACAGAGACAGCACTGGTGAAAATTACTAATGACTTCCTTATTGCATCAGACAAAGGACTTGTCTCTGTACTGGTTTTATTAGATCTTAGTGCATCATTTAATACCATTGACCATCATATCTCAATACAGAGACTGGAACATTTAATTGGCAATAAAGGAACCGCTCTAAGTTGGTTTAAGTCCTATTTATCAGATTGATCTCAGTTTGTACATATTAACGATGAATCCTCCATGCACGCCAAAGTTAGTCATGGAGTTCCATAAGGATCTGTGCTCGGACCAATCCTGTTCACTTTATATATGCTTCTTTTAGGCAATATTATCAGGAAACACTCCATAATCTTTCATTGTTATGCAGATGATACTCAGTTATATCTATCAATCAAGCCAGATGAAACTCATCAGCTAGCTAAACTTCAAATGTGCCTTCAGGATGTTAAAACCTGGATGACCGATAATTTTCTAATGTTAAACTCAGATAATCCCCGGCTCCTCCAGGCTGCATGTCGAAGTGTCCTTGGGCAAGATACTGAACCCCGAATTGCCCCTGGTGGCTGTTCTGCCAGTGTATGAATGTGTGTGAATGTTAGTTTCTGTTTGATCACTTAGGCTCAGTGTGTGAATGGTGAATGCAGATGTAGTGTGAAAGCACTTTGAGTGGTCGAAAAGACTTGAAAGGTGCTATAAATATACAGAACATTTACATAAAACTGAAGTTATTGTTCTGGGATGTGACGCATTATCTAAAGATATAGTTACTCTGGATGGTCCTGGCCTCCAGAACCACTGTGAGGAATCTCGAGTTATCTTTGATCAGGACATGTCGTTTAACTCTCACATTAAGCAAATTTCAAGGACCGCCTTTTTTCAACTACGTAATATTGCAAAAATCAGGAACATCCTGTCTATAAATGATGCCGAAAAACTAGTCCATGCATTTGTTACTTCTAGGCTGGATTACTGCGATTCCCTATTAAGACTCTTCAGCTGATCCAGAATGCTGTTCTGACAGGATCCAGGAAAAGAGATCATATTTCTCCTGTTTTAGATTCTCTGCACTGGCTTCCTGTAACATCCAGAATATAACTTAAAATCCTTCTTCTCACCTACAAAGCTCTTACTGGTCAAGCACCATCTTATCTTAAAGTCATACCTTACTACCCCACCAGTGCACTGCGCTCCCAGAATGCAGGGTTACTTGTGGTTCCTAGAGCCTCCAAAAGTAGACTATGAGCCAGAGCGTTCAACTATCAAGCTCCTCTCCAGTTTGGGTTCAGGAGGCAGACACCATCTCCACATTTAAGAGTAGGCTTAAGACTTTCTCTTTGATAAAGCTTATAGTTAGGGCTGGCTCAGGTGAGGTGTATATAATATGACAAAGAGTACGGTCTAGACCTGCTATATATGGAAAGCACTATAAGATAACTTTTGTTGTGAATTTGCGCTATATAAATAAATAAATTTTAATTGAATTGAGTTGAATTGGATCCATCCAATAATTGTGGCATTCAACTTCCAATCAAAAATGTCAACTTCCTGGTGGCACTACAGGAAAAGTCAGGGGATAAAACAATTTGTCAGTTATGGTGGGAAAGAAGCCAAAACAGCACTTCAGCAGAAACCTGCAGTGGCTGTGCTTAAGCAAACATAACTGAAAGGAAAACACTGGAATGATGCTGATAAGACCAGGCCTTCAAACAAGTTTCCCTGGCCATGGCTGCATTGTGTTGCTTATTAATCAAAAATGTCCACTGAGCTACAGAGACCCACAGCTATGGCAGTTGTAGTTTTATATTTGCTGAGCTGCACAGGGAATGTACTTGTAATACAATGTTAAATGTTAAAATACTAATTTAATGTAAAATTCACGTAATATCCCTGAATGAAATATCCCTGGTGGTTCAGTCAGCCATGATACATGCAGTGAACACCAGCATCCTTGGTTTGGCAATCATCACCCTCACGTCACATCTTTTTCA